TGGGCGGGGGGGTGCGCGCTGATCTTGGTGTCCTTTCGTAAAGGCCCCTTCCTTCCCAAATCCTGCTTCCAGATCCTGAAGCCACGGGGACACCTGCACTGTGGCTTCCGTTCCCACTGTGACCGAGACCACCCTCAGTCTCACCCGGGGGGGCCAGGCCCATCCTGGGATCGCAGTCTGCTGAGCACATTTTTTAGGGTGGTGCATTTTTATCCAGCAGTGATTAGCTACACATCAGTGTTTAAAAAGTGACCTTTCATTTTTTTTTCTTGAAAACTTGAGAGGAAACAATACTACTGATTTTTTTTAAACAATGCATGACTGCGGCCGGTAGAGGTGTATATTTTCGTAACGCGGGGATCGGGGCTGTGCTCGGCTGGGCCGGAACGTCTGGTTCCTGCCCCCGGGCCGCAGCCACGCTCTATATTCTGTAGGATGTGACCTCCTGAGAATGGGCCACCCCTCTGGCTCGGCCCACTTCTACCTTCTGTTCAACCACTTTGATTTGGGGAGAGAAAAAAAATAGAACTTTTTGATAGTGTGTTAAAAACATTGAACTATTTTAGTAAAAGGTAACAGAGAAGATTGTGACAGTGTATACTTTGCACTAGATAAATAAAGGCTCTTTGCAAGCCTCTGTGGTAGGCGCTTGGTGCCTGTTTTGTCTCAGGTGGTGGGGTCGCTGGGCAGAGGGCCATGGCCCCTGGGAGCACTTCAGGTGGGGCTGCAGCTGGGTGTGCAGCTGTCCCGGGACCCTCAGCATGGGTGGTGCAGACCACTAACTTGCTCCAGGAGCCTCTGCCTGTCATAGGCCAGAAATGGAAAGGACTTCAAACCTCATCTGACTTTGGGGCCTGTGTCTACGCAGGTATATTCAACAGTTCAAGCTGGTTTAGAACTGCCGCTTCCTCCAGAGAAAGCCAGTGCAGGCACGGGCCGAAAGAGGCTGGCCCACGAGGGCGCTGCCTGGGAGACGTGGATGAGGCCTGGCAGGCAGTGGGGGTCCTCAGGGGTCCAGAAGGAGATCAACTCGGGCTGCTGCAGGCCCTGAGCCCCACCGCCAGTAACAGACAAAGGTTTCAGAACTGCTTTTATTTGGATGACTGACTGAAGGAGTCCCGTTTGTAACCAGGATGGAATTCACAGTATGTTGTTACATTCACACTTAAAAAATATATCTCTATGTACAGGAATTTGCAGATTGATGTAAACATACGTTACTTTCCAAGTGCATTCCTCCCCTTCTTCCCGGAAGAAGAAAAAGCCATCCAACCAGGCAACCCCTTCAAAATAACTTTAATACAAAGATGTAAATATCTCTAAATCAAAAAAGGGGTTTTTTTGAGCAACTGATGTCATGGGAGAGAACACAGAATGAAAGTGATGATGACAGCTTGACTTCAGATGGAACTGGACTGTTTAAAACTGTGTATCCAGGAAAAATAGGCACTGATTTCTAGAAGGAAATTCACTCCTTACGGAAGCTATGTATTGAGCCAATATGGCTGGTTAGCATGTTCACTAGTAGAGTCACCCAGTGCAGGACTCCTGCCCTCAGCCGACACCAGCACAGCCTGGTGGCCCCGGGCGCTGCCGAGGCTGTCCCTGCTCTCCAGGTGTAGAGGGCCACCTGGTTTCACTTCTCGGGCTGGTCCACATCTTCCCATACTGCAACTGTCTAGCATTATGCAAGGTACCCTGCTACTTAATCCAACTACTCTTCAAGTTAATTAAAAAAACTTGTTAAAAAAAACAAAGGGGGGGGGCGGAGGCGTCAGGCTATCTCATCCAGGCTGCGCGCCCCAGGGCCCCGACTGGAGGCATGCCAGGTGGGGGGATAGGTGGGGGCACGGGTGGCTGTCCCCCAGGTGGGACAGATGGAGGTGGGTAGCTAGCTGGGGGCAGGCCCAGGCCTGGAGGAGGGTGAGGTGGGAC